AAAGAACTCGTTCTCTGCAAAAGTACAGGTTTCATCCTCTTGTTCTGGATCTGTCTGGAGAACTGCTCGCATCTGTTTGGGCCTTGATCGGCAGACTTTTGAAAAGTGGCCGATCTTATTGCAGCTCTTACAGTGTTGTCCCTTGGCAGGACAAGTTCTATGGGTAGAGGCGTAGCCGCAATTCTGGCAAAGGGGACCACTCAGTCTGGGGTACGAGGATCGCTGATCCCTTCTCATGGGAGGCTTGTTGGAGCGTTGCTTCTGGCGCTGCTGCACCTGATGGACTGCCTGGACTGTAGTAGTATTACTATCTCCCCGGGCCTTAATGTCCTGCTGATCCTTTGTGGCTGTTTCAAGCGTTTTGGCAAGTTCGATGGCTTTGGAGAATGTCAGGCCATCTTTGGTGAGCAAGTGTTTCTGGATGAACAAACTGCGTATGCCGCAAACTAGCCGGTCGCGGAGGGCATCATCAAGAAAAGAACCGAATTTACACGGTCCAGCCAAGGTTTGCAATTCCACAGAATACTGTGCTACAGTCTCACCAGCATTTTGATTGCGCTGATAAAACCGGTATCGTTCAGCAATCACCAGTCGTTTGGGCCCGTAGTGCGATTTGAGCAGAGTACACAGTTCAGCGTAAGTCTTTTCAGTGACTGCCACAGGTTCAGAAAGGCTCTTCACAGTTTTGTACACATTTGCTCCGATACAACTCAGCAGAACAGCAGACTGCTTGGCTGGAGAAATGTCATTGGCCTTGAAATAAAGGTCCAATCGTTCGAGGTAGTTGGTGATTTCCTCTACTTGGTCATATGGATCGAGCCGTCCGATCAAAGCTGAACTATAGGGCGCCCCCTGTGACTGCGACATGATCGATGTACGTTAGACACACGTACCTGAGTGGCGAATCGGACGAAAAATAACGGTTTGTTTTGCCACAAAATGTCCAACTACCTGACGTTATACAGTCTCAAAATGTCACTGATTATGTCCGCAAACATTTACTGGGACCACCGCTGTCACTATGTTGTGTTTATGGGTCCTTTCAAACCAGTAAATAATGGAACGAACTCACCGAGTCTTCACACGAACTCGTGGCATGGGCGCCGCCATTTTAATACACACTGTAACTCCTGGAACGTGTAGTTGGTGTCCCTCACAGAACGTATCATAATGCATGGACATACGACAGCACTGTGTGCAAAAATGTATAGGGGCAATTCCACGGTTACTCACGTTACATTTTTGAAGTACTTTTGAGTTTCCTTGGGCTGTAGTAATCACCTTACTGAAAAGGTTTTAACTGTTATCCCCATGGTAGATAGAGTAGACCTAGACCTACCTAAGCACCAAAGATGACATCCAGAAAAGTGTGTTATGTATGATAAAAACAAGACACACAAAATCAGTTACTCACGTTACAAAAATGTAATGTGAGTAACCGTGGAATTGCCCATAGGGGTGTTTGTGTTGCCCGTTGCGCATATTGTTTCCAAGCATGCACTACAGATGGGGTTCAAACATTTCGCGAAGGGGTAGTTACAAAAAGTGCAAGTTAATTTTGAACTAATTTTGTATTCAAATAGAAGTTAATTTTTATTATATTCAGATTAAATTAATCAGTTATCACCTAAAATCAAGCATAATCTGTGGGAGAGGTGTTGTAAAACAAAAAATGACTGCTTTATCTTGTGGTGAAATAAAACTGTCCTCCCTCGGTGATCCATGGAGCCTCGGGAATAATAGAATGCTTCATGGATCACCTTGGGAGGCTAGTTTTACTACACAACTCCAGGCAGTCAATATTTGTATATTATTCGTAAGGAGCCTTCCTAATTTAGTGAAACCTGGCACTGAGCAGGAAACCAAAAGACACAATTCATGAAAGGCCCATTGTCCTCCATCTTGGAGGCCCGTTGTCCAGACTCCAGAATGCCAAATCGCTTTAACCCTAAAAGGGCCGGGGGGGGGGTGGAATCCAACCCCCCCCCCCTCGACTTTTTGCACGATAGCCTTTAAAAAAAATGTTCTCGCAACCCAAGCTGTTATGACTTTTTAGCCTCGAGCCTTACGCATCTTTTGACACCAAAAATATAAAAATTGGACCAGGGGTTGTCGCGCCGCGAAAAATTTCCCGCGCTATGTGCCGTGAAAACTGAATTTTGCCATATACGTCGTGTACACAGACCAGAATTAACATTTATACATATGAATAATTAATTAGCGATAATTCCAAACCAGGAAGTGTTGCTCCATGCATGTACCGAGTTTCAAAATTTTTCGTCACTCGATGGCCGAGAACTTGGGGGGGGGGGGGGGGGGGAATCAGCCCCACTGGCTGAGAGATGGTCAAAATAACCAGGCCCTTTTAGGGTTAAGAAATGATGATCCTACACCATCGGCTCCCCTTAATTTCTTGTTTGTTTACGATTTGCGTAGTTATTCTTATGAAGAATCGAGACGGCGTAAAGAAATTACCCATTAAAGAAAGAAAAAAACTGCTAGTGACATAAAGAATTCTATCAAAAAACCCTTGGCAAGCAAGCTTATGGGACTCGAACCCACGACCTCCTGCTATTCAACCGCTGGATTCTCCAACTTGAGGAATTGAAATCTGCGTCTTAAAACTGTTCTCTGTCTTTAATTTGCGGCTGGATTTGTTGGTGAAAGCAATTGAATTGCATTGTATCAATATCATACACTTAACCAAAAAAGAAAGTCCCCCCCCTTCCAATACTTTTTGGTCGAACTCAAAAACTACTGACCTCACACTCAAATAACAACTAATCAGTAAAGAAATTCCTTAGCAATCCAGCCATACTCTTTTTTTTGGCTCAAAACAGTGATAATGTGTACGACATGATGCAATTTATGACAAATGATACCGAAAACAGTTGCACTTTTGTACACGTGCAAGTTGTGGTTCACACTCACCTTGCACCTATACAAAAGTGCAACGTTTGTGCGGTAGCATTTGTCATAAATTGCATAATTGTGTACCCATTATCACTGTTTTGGCCAAACAAAGAGTATGGCTGGATTGCTAAGGAATTTCTGTACTGATTAGTTGTAATTTGAGCAAGATGTGCTCAGTAGTTTTTGAGTTAGACAACAAAATATTAGGGAGGTCTTTCTTTTTTGGTTGAGTGTAGTTCCTCATAATGCGGGTATTACAAATATGTCACTAGATATGCATTTGCTGTATACCAAGCTGTTGAGGTCAATATACACCTACCTGTTGACTAAAGGCTCAAAAGTGAATTAAGTTGCATTGAATAGATGCTGAGCTAAAAATAGCACTTGTGAACTCATGAAATCACGTCATTTGAAAAGAAAGGTCACCCATTGACCCGTCAACTTTGTAGATCTTTGCATGACAGCAGACCACACAAAACTTTCCATTGTTGTCTCCAGGCTAGCTGTTGACAAGAAAACATTTTGGGAAAACCCAGATGTACACAATTTCTGGAGGCCTGCTGGGACAAATGTGGTTTATGTATTTGTATCGATGCGCGGGGGTTTCCAGGATAAAAAAAAAATGCCTTTATTTTTTAATTAAGATATTCTCCAGACGTATTAGGACAAATATGGATAGTGCAATGTTTTGTTTTATATTGGATGCAAACTGCTTGCATGTGACAGAATTTCAAAGCACTTGTGAATCATGACCTTGCAACTTTTGTAAAGTTTGAGTCAATGCCAAATATGGAGGTTTATTGAGGGATTAATTTGCATAATATAGTTCCGTCAAGTGGTCATGGGATTGTTGGGTGTGGCAGCTTCATGTACAGGGCTGTAATGCTTGCTCTGAATCAACCTGCTACGAACTCGACTGTAAGTTTTGCCAGAACAATGGTTCATTTCTTTTTGTTTTGGGGTTCTTATTTTGGTTTCATGGATTGTATTAAAATTTAAATGTCAGGTGTAACCCTAAACCCCTTGAGTGATTTACTAGGAACCTACCTCACTCTTGCAAATTCTAACACTATATGGCAAACTCTGGACCCAAACTGTTGGACTCTGATTATGGTGGTATGACTATACACCCCATGTAAAGCATTTACTAGTGCAGTACTCACTCCAACAGACTCCAACAAATCCTGCTGTAGGAATTTGACTGGACGGGGATTGTTAGGGTTAAGAAGTTTTTCAGTCGCAGTTTACTGATCTCACTGACTGATAGTCAACTGTGAATTATTCTGGTGCAGTTTCTAACTTTCCAATTCCAACTCACTGGCACACCATTAAAATAAAAGGTTGTGTTGTTTCCTTTAAAGGGAATATACATCATTTGCTTTTGCTGTAATTTTCAGAAATGGATGGAATTGGGGGGTTGGAAATATAAAGCAAATATAGTTGCACTGACTTTTTGGAGGTTTTGGGTTCGAAAATGCTATAAAAACCAAGAAAAACGATCATTTTCCTGTAGTCTGGTTCCCTGACTCCATATAAGAAGAAACAGAGCAGTTTACATACATTGGGGAATTGTAAGGTCAGGGAACCAGTCTAGCTGGCTCGTACCCGTTCATAGGTTTGTAATCGATTGCAAACAAGTGCAATGGTCAATTGGGGCCAGTATTTGAAAAAAAGCCAGTTGTTTCCAACGCTGATCGGCCGATCAGCGTTGGAAATTGATACAAAAATACCACTTTTCTTGAAAATGACAGTATACCAGGTGCCATAATTTTACAGGATGCTTCAGGCTGTCATTTACCAACATCCTATTAAGGTATTTCGCAAAAACTTGGTAGTTTTTTTTTTCGATGTTTGCAAATGTTGTATATTCCCTTTAATTTCATACCACATTTGAGCTTGTGATTCATGTAGTTCTAAAGATTTCATAAATTTCCCACGGTCAGCCATGTCCACTTCCGCGTGGAATTTCCCTCTAGTCTTTATTCCAAACATAAATGGCATTGTAGGTACAAGTTTTCATGCTAAAGAATGAGATTGAAGCTGGAATGAAGACAAGTGTGTTACAACATTTCATTTATCATTGACAAACAGGACTTCCATTTGTGGCTGGGTGATCCAAAGTACCATGGCTGCTCAATCTGAAGCAGCCTGCCAGACTGATGTCCCTACCACGATGCAACAGGAGGCACAGGTACCCACCCCCTCAGCTGCAACAGGTGAGTACATTTAGTAGCTAGATCATTTGCATGGGGTCAATGAGGGAGGGAGGAGTATTAACTCCCCCTCTCCACTCAACTCACACATTTACACACTCCCCAAGATTTTTTTTGAAGTTGCAGGTTTCAACTTTGGACAATCAGATTTCTCTATATATCTTCTTTAAAGGTAGAGTAGATCAGTTGCAGCTATCCAAAAAGTAACTGACCAAATTATTTTTTGAAAGCTTACTTTGGTTTAAAGATAGTAATTCGACAAAGAAGACAATAAAAGAAGGTCATTACCAAAGATTGGGAATTGACCAATTTTTGGAAATTTCCATTAGTAGTTGGTTTGTAATTGGGTGAATCTGTGAATGGGTGCGCGGTTGCTATTATTTGTTGGTTCAGTGCATTCAGGCTTCAGGCTGCAAGCAATTCAAAACAAGACTCTGCAACTTTTGATTTGAAATCGAGATCCTCACAAATGATTTTCTCGGAATATACAACATTTACTGAGCTGAAAGTTCAGCAGGTTAGTTGCTAAGCACCCATCTTTAGATTTTGAGGACTTTTTTTGCTTCAAAAGAAAGAAATGCAAATATGACAAATGATCTACTCTACCTTCCAAAAACGTAAGTACATGAATCATTTTGTCGGTATTCTTTAAAGGCTGTTTGAATTCTTCTGATTGTAGATTCCCCACAACGAACTGGAGCCATCGGAAACATGGGCACAGTCAGCGGTAGAAACAATCCTACCATTGTTGGTTCAAGTGTCAACTTCTACAGCTCGCCGTCGGATGGAGCAGGTAAATATGATCTTGTTCGTTACCATAATTGATATCTTGGATCAGATGTCAATGTATTTTTTTGTAGGGGAGGGGGATGGAGATGATATACTACACAGACGTGGACACAAAAGACGGATTGCCAATTCCATGAAAGAGTCTACATTTTTTTGTTGCTACGATATAAACCAGTTTGTAATAAGATATGGTGACGACATTAGTAGTCTTGTAATGTGTTCTTTATATACCCACACCAAATGGCACCCCGTATTGTGTGAGTCACATGTGGGAAAAATGGAATCAAGTTTGGAGGCCTCCAAATGCAGTTACCAGTTTTTTTGTCTGAATTAATTGTTGTAAGTGTAAAAAAAACAATGTGTAAATACTATTAAACAACATCTGAGAAGTTTGTGTCCAACAGATGGTACAAAAGGTGCATTTGATTATTTTTTGGGGGAGGGGGGCAAATTTATTTTTTACACTGCCTTACTAACGAACTGTAAATCCCAAGTCACCATTTCTTTTACATGTTTGCCTCAGTAGAGGAAGACTATTCAATCGTTTCAGAAACAATGTTAAACTGAAATAATACATGTACATTCAATAGTGGGTTTTGCCCTCCACCGACATACATGTATTGTATAAACACTGTATAGACAAATCTGGCGACAGCCATTTACTGCAGTGTCGAAAAAGGCTTGCGCGAGTTGCGCTCAGGTATGTATACCCACACTTCGGGCTCCTTCGACCAATTGGAATACCAAAATGCGCGCGCGCCTCGTCTTTAAGAACGCGAGCTGCATGCGCGTGAGCGTGACACCACCGCAGTAAAAGCTTCTAATTCTGATCACTGGATTCCACTATATACTTAGTGTTGTCTCGAGTGTTCATGAGAAAAAATCACTTTCGTGGGACTCGAACCTATGACCTCATATACTTGTTTCTTGTTTGACCTCAATAGGAGTAAATCCGCAGAGTCAGAAACCAGACCAAGAACCAAGAGTGGGGGATCTCAACCAAGAAGTCGGTAACAAGACCAGGGACATTTTGAGGACATGTTACAAGACAACGGGTAGCTATGTTCAGTTGAACCCTGGGGTTCCTGATGATCAAAGACACATTGTTGGCATTTACACTAAATTGCGGGTTAGAACAAAGAAAGGTACTGCAGAAGAAGAATACTCTGACAAAACTGTATATTCCACAGAGTATGAGAAAATATTGAAAGATTGGCCTGAGACTGAGTTCAATCGTGCTATTTTATTTGGCATTGGTGGTGTCGGGAAGTCAACCATTTTTGACAAGATTGCATATGACTGGGCCGATGAGACATGTGAAATCCTGAAAAGATTCAAGCTTGTCTTTCTTTTAAAGATGTATGCCCTGTTCCAAGAATCTGATCTTGTTGATTCCATTTTTGATCAACTTTTAGGCGTAAAGTCAGGAGTAGCCAAAGATGAACTTGATCAATATATTCAGGACAACTCAAATAAGGTCTTGATACTTTTGGATGGTTTTGATGAAATGAGGACCAAAACACTTGATGTAGCCTCATTCGGCTCTATCCTAAAAGCGCTCAATAGAACAGAATACAGGAAGTGTTGCATTTTGGTCTCGACTCGCCCCTCTCATCTTGAGACTCTGATGTCAAAATCACTTGTCCAAAATCCTTGCACACATGTTGAGGTTCTGGGGTTTACCAAGGAAGATGTTAATGAATACATTCTGAAATTCTATTACGAAGATCCTGATAGTGGCAGTGCACTGATCCTAAACATTGAAAAATCCAACACGTTGCTCGATTTCTCCACGAATCCAATGCTTCTCCTTCTCATGTGTTTGTTGTGGAGGGAGAAAAAACAACTCCCCGAAACAACTTCACGCCTCTTCACTGAGGCAGTTGATTACATGTTCACAAGAAAAGGATATAGCTCCGAAGATGCATCAAAAACAGTGATTGCTATAGGAAAAACTGCACTGAGTGGATTCTTAAGTGCCGACCAGAATTTCTCATTTCAAAAAGATGAGTTTGAACAAAATGCGCTGGACCTGGCACTGAAAGCAGGCATCCTAACCCAGCAGAGAGTTATCAAAAACCTCAAATGTCACAACAACATACAATTCATGCACAAGACTATTCAGGAATACTGTGCTGGTAAATACTTGCAAAGTGTACATATGTCAAACTGGGGATTTGTAAAGCGTACGGTGTACAAAGTTGTTCCATTTGGAGAATTTCAAAACAATTTAAGGCAACTATGTCAGACAATTAAGGGTGTCATTTCAAATGATTTTCTTTTGCGTTTTTGTTGTGGTGACAATGAAAAGTGCATGACTGACATTGTTAGATTGCTTGACCGTAAATTCAATTATCGACATAAGCCCATGTACCAATCAGACGTTATACAATTAATTAGTCAACACTGTTTATTTGAAAGCCAATCCAAAAAGATCCCACAATGTCTAACCAGCGACTCACTCATCCCATCAGATATCGAGGTGAATAACTATACTGATGTCCGCATTCTCATATACCTTTTTAAAACAATCTGTAGTTCAGAAGTCCAGGTGCCACAACTGTCACGCATTGAAACCATTCAGATTGATTCTATGTCTTCGGTCAGTGGTTTAGTCTTCGCCCTGGGTTACATGGAAAACCTCAGGGTTCTGAGGCTCTCCTCGTGTCCTTTAGTGAAGGGTGAGCTTGAGAAAATCCTGTCATCACTGAAATGCAACTATCTCTTGACCTGGCTTGACATACAGAATTGCAATACATTGGGAGGTAGAGCTGTAGAATGGGCCCCTCATATCAAACACTTGACAAGCATTAAGAAACTTGGAGTAAAGTGGTGCAAACTTCAGAGCACAGACATTCAACACATTGCCTCGGCTGTACATGACATGCCCAAACTGATTGGCTTGAGCCTTGATGGCAGCGAGACATTGGGCGGGTCCACTGACTTGTGGGCCAAGGAATTGCCAAAAATGATGCACTTAAATAAGCTGGACCTGATCTATTGCCATTTGACACGGTCAGACATTCAACTCATTGCCTCGGCTGTAGGTAACATGCCCAAACTGACTGAGTTGAATCTTCATAACAACAGTTTATTGGGTGCATATGCTGGAGATTCGGCCAAGGAATTATCCAAAATGATGCACTTAAATAAGCTGGACCTGGGCAGTTGCAATTTGACACAGTCAGACATTCCACACATTGCCTTGGCTGTAGGTAACATGCCCAGACTTACTGACTTGAATCTTGGTGTCAACAAATCATTGGGTGGATGTGCTGCATTGTGGGCCAAGGAATTACCCAAAATGACACACTTAAATAAGCTGAACCTGGGCAATTGCGATTTGACATGGTCAGACATTCCACACATTGCCTCGGCTGTAGGTAACATGCCAAGCTTGACTGAGTTGATCCTATATGACAACTATGCATTGGGTAGACGGGATAAGTTACGGTCCTTCTTCCCATCACTCAGGGTTATATATTAATTCTCTCTCACCAAGCCCATTCTAGAATTACATGTACTTGACATAACGTATCAAAATGATAACTTCCCTATAAAAGGAAATGAAATTTACAAGAAAATCAACAAACTTAGAGTGTCTTATGTTTTAATCCTAAGCAGGACCATTCTCAAAGGCAAATCATGGTAATACATTCTCAGTTTAGATCATCAGTAGTGTCATCCTGCATGTAAGACAATTAGCTGTTCACCATTGAAAAAAAATACTATGAAATCAGGGACCTGTGCAAATTCCAAAAACAGATAATGAAAAATGTGTTATTCCAGGATGTCTGCTTGCAATTTAAACATAAACATCATAACACATTCTGGATTCAGATGGTCAGTAGGGTCACACTGCGTGTAAGATAATCAGCTGTTCACCCTCTACATATGACACTGTAGATTGTCATCAAAGTCAAACTGACACTCTTAAAGTCCAGGGTCAGATATAACCTTGCATCCGGAACAGACTGGAACTGACACTCTTCTGGGTCAAAAGAACAATTTTCTTGTCAAATGGCCAGAAAGGTGACCCAAGATAAGTGTTATTTTGACCCGGAGAATTGTCAGGTCAAATCTGATCTGGATTTGGGTTGAATCTAACGCGTGACTTTTGAGAGTGTCTATGATTTGCTGATTGGGTCAAGGAGAATGGACAAGGAACTGTAGATTCATGCTAACAATAGACGGGGCGCATCTGGCACAAATCTACAGTTCCAAGTCTGTTCTCCAACTTTAATTTCTTAAAACATTAGTTTATGCAAATAAGATCTCTGATTTACCAATCTCCATGTTTGTGAATACATGTAAGTGTTAGATTCCACATCTGGAAACTCTTTATAAAGTGGCAAACAGAATTACTGTAGACTTCAGATCTTTATGCGTGTGCACGTAAACATCACTAATTTAAAAACCCAGTTTTTCATGATATGGTATTTGTTGATTTCTGAGGCTGTATGGGTGGTTTGGTCCATTTCCAAGTTGAGACTTGTTGTCCTGACAACAGTTGTATTGATGTATCACGTTTAAACAATGAGTAGTTTAAACAGTGAGAAGTTATGCGATTATTCCAAGATGGAAAACACATGTATATTTTGTAAATAAAAGTATATTTTTGGAGACTCATTGGCCAAGTGGCTTAATTGTGCCTGTATAACGGTTCAAAAAATTAAGTATTACCCCGAGTAGTTTTGGAATTATTCCAACCACCAATGAGTGACTTTTTTGTAAATAAATTAATTTATGAAGAATGTTTATGTTATATTTTGTTTATTAGGCTGCCTGAATATTATTGTACTTATGTCAGATATTTAATAGAGTAGCTTGGGATTATTCCAACCACAAATCAGTGACTTTTTTAAAATATTTTTTTTTCAGAAGTTTTATTATTATATTTTGTATAAACATTGGTGCAAAGGTTGGTGGGAAGATCAGTTTCAAACACTGCAAAAAGATGAAGGAATAACTGATTTGACACAGCATTGAGGGGAGGGGGGTTAACTACTAAAGGAAATATGATATATTTATATATATATATATATATATATATTTTTTTTTTTCTAAATCAATCACGATCAACCACGAGTCTGACCTGCTAGGTGCATTGTCATTTTTTTCATATTTTTTTTATATATAATTAAAAAAACCAATAATCTGAAATGTTTGGATGTTAATGAAGTGTGGTGTCAAATTCACTTTCTATGCTTTGCAGTGGCTGAAAATGTTGAAAGTTTCTCTTTATTTGCATACTTTTTAATTAATAGACTAGTTTTGCATTTATATCTGTAATCACATATTAAAAGGCCTAGTACTCTTAAGCATAACTAGAAAAACTTTCTTTTTTTGCAAGTAGGGCAAGTCCAAGAAAAGGTCCCCTTGTGGTCCCATACGTAGCGTACCATGTCTTCTTCATCACAAAGAATAACAAAAATGTGTGTGGGTACAGTTTTCTCCTTTCAGACGCCCAACAGAATACATTAAGAAACGCACTGATCTATTTGCTTTTTAGAGGGTTAAACTTTCCTGGGACGTAGAGTGTGTGAATTCTTGGACTTGCCAAGTTATAACCTGATGGAGTAGACATATGGATTGCATTCAGGTTCCATATTAAAATACATATGTTAGTATCTCACAATTGTTTCTCGTGTGATCATTTTGTGTCAGTCACTTTCTGTTGTATTGCATTTTACCTTAAGATGAGTATGTGAGGAAGAGTGTATAGTGTGTGACTTTCTGGTTTGCTCAGAATTGAATGGTTCAAACCCACCATCATCCCTGTCGTCTTTTACGGATATTCAATCAAACACAATCCAGCCCATGTGTTTATCTGATACTCGATTACCGTATTATCTGTAAATTCACAGCCCAACTTCAATGAAGATGGGTCATAGTTTGTTTCCTTCAACAACCTTGTTTTGTTTCTACACTTTCTTTTTGACTTTTACATGTTGGACCGAAATGGTTGAAAAAAAAGTACCTTCATTGTAGGTATCTCTCCAATATTTATTTTGAGGATGCCCCCCCCCCCCCAAAAAAAGTCACCCACCAACAAAGGGAAAATATGAACAAAGAATGAACTTAATAACCATTATTAAGGGAATAAATATGTGCTTAGCTGGTTTTAAACGAGTACCGTTGTGTTAAAAACCTGGTTGCCAATTCGGCTCAGGCCAGCCGGATTTAAACATACTTTGTTTCATACCTGCCAAGCACATTATTTATTCCCATTCATAAATAACTTTTGGTCAAAAAGTCATAAGAATTCAAAAATTCACAAATGTCCAACTATTTTGTTTAGCAAATTACTTCGTGTTTAGATAAACACCCCCCTGGCCATGTCTGTGTACTTGCTTCGTCCACGCAGTGCTCAGAATCTCCTATGGAAATTGGCGTGCACGCTGCGCATACTAGGTGATGTGGTGCAGAACACAGGAATTGGGTTAACTGATGTGTTGTCAGTAGCTTAAACCACCCACATGACATTTCTCGACCAATAGGCTTTATTCATGAGTTGGCCATATTAAATTGAAAGTGAGGTCAAATCCATTTTTTTTAACTTGCGAACAGAAATGAAAGCAATGACTTAAAGTAAATCACAAATTATTAGTCTGCTCTGATGAATAATTTAAAATTTGTGATTAAACAGGTCCTAATGTTAAAAGCCACATTAAAAAAAAACAATTGAAAGTGATAGTCTTTCACCATCCCATTCCACAATGTACAATTGATTAAAACACATTCAGGGAACAATCAAAGTGGTCTTCTTGTAAAGAAGGTCTGTAGCCTAGGAAAGGGTGAACTGTCTCAGGTATTTTAGGCCCCCCCAAAAATATTCGGTCTCTGGTCAGACTAAAGTTCCGGAATTGACGCGGCCACGCGGCTTTTTTTTTTCCGCTTTTTTTTTTCTTCAAGCTTGGATTGTACAGACAAGGTGGGGTACTATTTTGCTTTTTTGGTGTCCTCATGTACATCTGTGTCCTCCATAATTTGCCTTGGTGCTTTCGATCATTTGCCTTGGTGCAATTTCCCATTCCTTGGTGCTCTTTGGTAAAAAAAAATTGAGGAGGTGCGGAAATAGAGGGCGCTGTTGGAGCTACCGCGGAACATTTTTGGAAAAAAAAATCGACTTGCATGATTAAAATCGACGCGCGCTGACCAGAGACCGACTTATTATTTTTTTTTGGCCTTATGACTGTTGGTTTATCATGAAGTAGGACCAGTTAGCTTCAAAATTGTCATCTTGGATGCATTCCTGTGATCATGCATGCACCACTGATGAGTTCCATTGTTCTATAAATGGTATGTGAAAACCCTCTTGGAACAGTTTCGGGTGTAAAGAGCACATCCACTGACATACTGTTTTATCTTCCTACATGTATGCCATGCGTTTTACATGCGTTGCTAGTCAATGACATTCAGATCATATTTCAAGCAAGCACTCTGACTTGTCAGATCCAGTCAACAGACATAAACAGGCAGGAAGTAGGCACAGCTGGCTTATCAATCACCTACAGTCAAAGCATAGCTGTATCAAGTTACGTAAACAGTCCCAGCCAGTCAATCCTGCTTTATGTAGGCTGGGATCTCTTAACTGTTGAAAACAGTCACTTGATTGATTTTGACTGAAAGGACAACTTGGCACAATGTATGTTTGCATAGAAGCACATCCAGAATGTTTTACTTTGAGAAGACATGAACAAATCACAATAACTGTCACTTGATAATCGTAATCAATTGCAGGATTCAACACCATGCATACATGTACATGTATCCACCTGCTTTTCGACACAGAGTTTTAATTTTGAATCCTGTTTTAATTTTTTAACGCGATTGTGGATTTTATTTGGGTTATATAACCTTTTCCACAACCCGCGACAGAAATGTCGAAGTAAATAATAATATAAATATAAAGTGCTCAGTGATGGCGCATATCTCCCATATCTCGCCTTTGCACGCTGATTACGTAAATTGTCCGCCTACTCGAGCTAAATGCTGACCTGCAAATCATGAAGGTTGGGAGGGTCCATGAAGTGAGTTTCACTGAGGAACATATTTTGTGGTAATCTGACCTTTAAGAAATGTCAAAGGTCACAGGAGCTGAACCTGTTACAATACTTTATCTGCAACATTATATTCATTAATTGCATTATCCATGCATGACTTTTGAATTACTGGGAGAACTTTGAAAAAAAATTTACATGATCAAAATAAATTGTGTAAATTGTTAGGAACACATGAAGGTTATGAAAGTAAAGGGCGTTTTGTTCTTCAATAGCATTTACACAGCTGCATCAGTTTGCTTAGCCAACTGATACGTGTTAAACATTCTAACTTGGTTATCAGTCCAAACACATGCTGGGACTGTCTCATCAACATGGGTGATCAGTTGGGAGGGCCCAACTTGGGCAGGAACCTTATTCCCATCCAAACGATCATGATAAAAGTAAAGTTTGGTGGGACAGGGCTAGGGTGCTTGGTCCTATACCATTCAGACGGGAGGACCAAGGGCACTTGCTCAGGCCGGGCCTGGGAGCTCATCAGAGGCAGATCAAACATGTCGTCTTTTTGTAGCAACTTCCAGGGTAGCCTTGTAGAAAATGACTCGGTTTGTCTGATGACACTTTGTAGCACATGGCCGTGGATGTGCTCATCACGTACGCTCGTTGGTAAATGCGTGCCCTCTAACATCCATATATGAGTAGCAGTGCCCAACCCAAGTTAGGCTTGCCCATTGCAACCTGAATGATCTAGTTTGGCTCTAGTTGGGACAGTCCCAACATAAGCTTGGTCTGATGACCAAGTTGGGGCATAGTTGGTTTGCAAATAAACAAAAGTGTGAAAAGTGAGGACCAACATTATCTTTCTTGTTTGATAAGCTGTACGATAATTCACAATGGAAACATTTCCATATCTTTTGTTCATTTCTACCAGAATCATCCATCTAATTTTCCTGTGGATTTGTTGGTTTTATCATTCCAGCA